ATATATATATATATAAACACAATTCCCATTTATGGAAAACAATTGCGTTTAACTCTCACAAACATAGTAACATACACTAAAATTTGTAATAAAGTGTTCTGTCAACCTGATTCAGATAAAGTCATATTTTTGCAGCATTAAAGATGCTGATACTTATTTGCACACTGTCGATAAAACGATTGAAAAAAAATTATAATATGCGACAGAATAGACACTTTTCTTTTGGAAACCACAAAGTAAGAATGGAGAAATACGATTCTCATAAGAGAAGAGTATACTTTGTATTTTAACAACATGGAAAGATCCATCAAACACTATTAAAATTTGAAAAAAAAAAAGAGTCGAACAATGTCATCTTTTTCTTCAAACAAAAATTATTTTCATCACGTGTAACAAAAATCATACGCATGATGTAAAAAAAAAATCATCTCTTCATCCTCATTATCATCCTCATTATCTCGTTACATCGCTTGTTAACGCGTGTATTTCCAGTAACAAGATAGATGAGATTCGCAACATTTCAATTTTCTTAGCCCAAGAATCTTTTCATAATTTCATGAAATGCATGTACTTAAATCCTCCGACAAAGGTAACGTTACATTTTTCAGCGTTATGGCTCATTCATACCAGTATATAAAAGCAAACATTTTGGCCTGGGCAATGAAAGAATAAACTGTAACACGTGTGCACCAAAGCGAAACTGCTCTCCAAGCTTTTGCTTGTATTTGTTAAATTCTGTTTAATTATTGCAAGAGGAGCAACGTCACGTCTGACAGAGCTCTTTCCACGAAACGGTGACTTTTTTTTCACGAATACGTAGATTTCGTTAACCATGGCTGATTCTGTTTACAAATTACATAAATAAGCTTAAAGAGATTTTTTTTTAAAGAGTGAAAGGGATAAATTTGTTCAATCTAAAAAGCAGACTTGCTCCGGTTCCAATGACGAAGTCTTACACATAACGAGTTTCATTGAAACGTATTTAAAACTACGTAAAATCTCTTTGCCCAGTGTAATCTGTGATACGAGAAGTATCCTATTTAACGAACAGCTATTGAAATAACGTTTGCACAAAGTAATAATATATTCTTATTAATGGTATTTCAGAAATCAATGAATGAATCTTCTTATTTAATAAAGTTCTAGCAGAATCGTGAATTTTGTTCATTCAATTTGTACGCTGAATATGTATTTAAAAAAGGCGAGATTTGATTGATAGAAATTTTTTTATTCAATTTCAAATGTTCTCAATTCCTTAACCTTCTGAGCATTCAAGTATGAGAGATATTGCACATGTGTCTAAAAATCAATAAACTAAAATAATTAGTTTACTTGTTAGAGCTCCAGAGAACATAATATATTATGAATCTATTCTTAATTCGTTACATCTTCTTCATTCAATATTAATATACTTTCGAACTTTTGAAAATTTCAAGCAATTTCAAAGGATTAACAGACTGTATAACATATCTTCACTAAAAAGAGACAAAGTGAACGTGCCAAGTAGAATTTTAACCGAAGAGGATAGCACAGGAACGACAACTATGATAATACCACGTCAACTTATCTACACAACGGAACACCGGAAGAAAGGACACGATCCGAATTTCCAGAAAAGAAAAAAAAAAAAAAAAGAAAAGAAGACACACAATCGCAACCACTTATGTACGACTGCAGTGATCTCTGAGAGAAGATCCAATTGCCGAAAATCGACGTGGCAAACGACTCGAGTGGCAATCGGTGACGGTTCTATCGGTCAACGTCGAATCGGATTTCCGGTTGGGTGGGAGGGGGGTGGCCGCAACCGGCTGCACTTTCCCTGCCTAATTTTACAAGCGGCGGTTCGTTTTATAAGCCGTCGTTAATCGCGGTGAACCCGGGCAACTGTTTGCCGGTCCTTCGGGATGCCCGAGGTACAGGCTCCGGGGGGTAGCGATTTCGAGATAAGGCAGCGAGGCTTGTTGGTGCAACCCGACCAACGTTAAACCCCAAATCCCCGCGCGACTATCGAAGTTGAGCCTTGCGGTGTTGTGGCGGCCGCTCAGCCGTCCACTCCGCAGGATCTATATCTCCAGAAATCCACTTGCCTCCTGCGTCTCGCGGAAGCGTCGCAGTTAAATGCATGCTGTTCAATGTGTATTCACCGCACTGACCACCTCAAGAGTACGCCCGAGTCCCTAGGTTCGACGTTTCCCCCTTTCGGGAGAATCCGAGACCGACTTCACCTTGGCTACCTGTGACTACTGTTATCGGCTATCGTTGAACCAGGAACAAGGCGAGAACCGCAATTTTTCAACACCGTCTTCTCTGGTTCTCTGAAGGAAGAACTCTGCTGCGCAAAGCTGTTTAGAAATTGAGCAGCGTGTAGCATTCAAAAATAATTATCTCCGAACGAGACAATGATTATTTATGAGACATTTATGCGTCTTCTCACAAACGCGCTCTGCTGATACGATTTACGTTTCTTTCGATTGGTTGTGGTCTATCATACTGTTATAGGAGGTTTAAGAAAAAATCTAGTAGCTCGTGGAACCTGATGGTTTTTTCGAAAGATTTCTGTTTTTTTTTTTCCTTTCGACAAGTACTACACACTGCTTGAAGTTTCCTTAAACTGGGAACTTAATGTGGAACATAGTGTTGATATATTCACTGAAATCTTTATCCCATGTTTTTTCGTACGAGTAGGAAATAGGAAGATTTCATTTTTTCGCAAATAGGAAGAAGTTCTAATCAAACGGGAACCGTGAAAAAAAAGTTAGGATTGATTTGATGAATCGATTCTTTGCGAAATATCGTGGTTCTATGTAACATAGATTTTTCGAACCGTGAGAAACGTTGCTGGTATTCTACTAAATTGTTTGGTAGAAAAATTTAGGCGTACATGCTTGTTATTGAAAATAATTTCTAAAATAATTCAGCTTTATTGTTCTCAATAAATACATACGCCCAATTGTATTCAAATGTATGCAAAATATGTCACGTATCATTGAAAATGTTAAACTTATTCAAAAATGTTGAACTAGAATAAAAAACGAGATGAAAATGATCTGTCTTCTAGATATAAAATTGTTGTCCTTTACATTTTTACCTCGGATTGTAACATTTGCTGAGATAAAAAAAAAAGAAAAAAAAGATCGTCAAAATTGGTATTAAGAAGAACGAAATTCTTATGTATCGACGAACTGGTATCGAAGTCAAGGTATTAATCACGTGATTTTTCCTTACATTCAAACTGCAAAAAAAAAAAGAAAGAGAAAGTATAAAGAAGGAAGCTTCATTATTCGTGCAAACGTTAGACTACATGCAAAAATCTGCATCAATGGCAGGTCGGAAAAAGAGAAAGCAAAAACATTTATAATCGGTTCCCGACTAGCTAATGAGATCAAGCGTTACGGTAGTAGCCATTAATCATCCAAAGAAGAAACATCGATCACGGTCTCCTTCATTAATTACTATTGGATCAAATGAACGAATTCGTTGCCTCCGTTCTCCCGCTTATTAATTGTTGAATGGTTTTTCAAAAAGATAATATGGTGGTCTATTGACGTTATGAAATTCGGGTTATTACATTGTTGCAATGATCATCGTTTCATGTGTACAAAAATAATGAAACTACTGAATTTACTCGTAATTTTCTCTTTACTGATAAGCAGTAAGAAATTGATACCAAATAATTGCGACTAATTACAACTTTATTTCTCTAACTCGATCAAATTATAGGTAAGTTAGGAAATAAGGTTTTATTGAGCTAATTAAAAATTGATAATTGATTATTTATCATTTATATGTAGATTTGTTATTTTTATTCATCCAATATCTTAAATATAATTATCGACCTAATAATTGAAATCTGATAATTATGATTATTATTTATTGATTTATTGCTTTGATTATTATTCATAAGTTTTACGATTATTATTCACAATGACTTAAGTCTATGGCCAAATAATTTTTTGTATTTTATAACGAATGATGCTCGAAATAAATAACTAGAATTGTATTTCACATTTCTACGAAAGTGTAACTAAAAGAATAGAATTTAAATAGAAATTTATTTCGTATACTATATATTAATTGCTCCACCTCGAGTATTTCACATGTTTTTGCATATTATATGCATCCTGTAGATTTTTCTACCTTTAAATTTTTCTAAAAATGCACGAACATCCGCACTCTACTTATGAATAAAACAAGAGGTGCTTTTGCAGGAAATTTTAAGGTACA